TGTTTCGACTCAAGATGCCGTTGAAGCTTATGGTCTCCGCCTATACACACAAGTCCTAGGCTGGTCTCCTAACCTTGCCCGGATCCATTTTGCGCTTGTGAAAGCGCAGCTCAGACATCCATCAGTACATGCCTACACGAAGCTGTAAGCTCTCTTGATACTATTCGTTGAGTCTTGCAGCTGACAATCCCTAGGTACGTTGTTTATGGGAGAAAGCCCAGTCCAAAACATACCGCCTAATTGGCATTAACCGCGGGGGTGGTTCCGCTTGTCGACGAAGTTGTTCCTGTTCTTAGCTCGATAGTCTAAAGGTCTTCGATATTGAATCGTTCGAAACGTTGAATCGACTATGAAGTGTAGTGATCTGTTCATCACCTGTAATCCTGCCCATTCCCAGCATAACGGACAGATCTAATGGCTGCACAGAACAAACTCACTCCAATTCATACCTAATAATCTGTAGTTACAGCTCCTGAAGTGTCATAATAGTGTCCTAATAGAAGAAAACCCACATGATGGTAAATGAGCATGTCCTTACATAACAACATTCCAAAATGCATTTTTTTTTCTGGTCCGTAGCACCCGGCTTAGTACAGGCGTCCTTTTTAATTTCAGAATGAAACTTCTTGTGATAATAATAACTGGATCTGCTTCGAAAGCTTCTGCCGCAGCCTGGCACATGACAGGCGTGTCTTTCGGTTTCCAAATGGGCATCCCGGTGATTGTAAAGACCGGAACTGCTTCGAAAGCGTCTGCCGCAGCCTGGCACAGGACAGGTGGTTTTGGTTTCCGAATGGGCATCCCGGTGACTATAAAACCGGAACTGCTTCGAAAGCGTTTGCCGCAGCCTCGCACAGGACAAGCGTATTTTTCAGACAATCCGGACCCCTCTTCCTGGTTGGTGAACACTCCGGTGACCTTGGTTTCCTTTCTTTGCATGCGCCAGTTTTGGCGCTGATCATGCTCATATTGACAAGTCAAAGCTTGGCTCCCTGACTATAAAACACAATGTTAGAACAAAAAACCATGCTAAAGACAATCGTAGGTAGGTAACTTCACCTGGATCGAATTCGTCAGTGAGCTTTGAGCCTGCGATACAGCCATTGTGCTGATACTATATGTTCAATTTAACAATTGCGTAGGACTCTGGGATGAGACCAGACATATTGCATGATATCTTGCCTTATTATTCGAAGTCCTTGATTCCTGTCAGGCAGCTACTGTTGGCTGTTTCATGCATGTTTTTGAATACCATAATTAGTATAAGATATCCTTGTCTGTACATACATATTCTGATTGGCCCTATAACAAAGATGAAGCGCTCTTAGGTGGCTCAGGACTCAATTTTCCATGCTGCGGCTGAATCTAGTGGTTGTCAGTGTCAGGAACATCCTCCTGACTAGTGGACTGGAATGCATAACGTGATAACAAATTGAATCGAGCTTTCTTATAGGCCATGGCAAGCGCTGGGGGCTTGCAAGGGCTGGCTGGCTAATGTGCTAAGATCAGGTTTACCATGGGAATGCTCCGCTCAGGCAGCATACTTAGTAGGATCGACTGCCGATCGCAAGTCTGACACATCCTCCCCCTTAGACAGGAAGAATATCATGAAGTGGAGGTTAGACCTGAGTCGATTAACTGCTGAAATGGACCATGTCAGTATAGATAGCTCAGTGACTTACATTCTCTCCTGAATCTCTGGGGCGCTCAATTGGAAGAAGATCCTAGAGAAGGCTCTCTAGGGTCCATTTCCCTATGTGCTGTCTCCTCCAGCCGTCACTGCCATGTCTTTGTAGAAGGATCAGCGAGATCGAGCCCTACTAGTCCAGGTCCCATGGGTCTGGACCGTGGCTAGAACCTGGTATTACTGGCTGCCGTTGCAAGTGCGGCCTTGACAACTACCCATGCCGGTTATTTTCTCACTCTAAGTAACCGGTGAAGCAGCATATCGTTGCCCTATTAAGTGACCACCAATGTGACCCTGGAGGGGACAACGTGGCAGACGTGAGGTTGAATTGCCATGTATCATCATCAGCACGACTTGGCCTCAATGCACTATACTAGCGTTGGCACATCTGATTCCAAGCATTTTGGCGCCACTAAGTTTTTCTTTCCTTCTAGGCCAATTATTTTGGTACCCTAACCATTCCTTGAGGATTTGGTTAATATCTAGCTGTTGGTCAGATTTCTGAGCGCCTGCCTGGGAATGTAAGCACGTTGTTGCCTACCTCTAGCAACCAAATGCGGTCTTTCCCATCGCCTAAATGCTGGTTTCTTGAAGCGAAATTTTTTTCTCTTCCTCCCTGGTACTATCTTTATATTTGCTTCTTGCCGTAGTCAGATTTTGCAGCCAGATCCACGTCATGCTTGCCCTAACTTCTGGTGATCGTACGCATCGTTCACAATGGCAATCTGACACAAGTGCATAAGGCAAATTGACAGCGTAGCAGCGCCTTGATCCTGCCAAAGTATATATAGAGGAGTAAGTTGGCTGGTTGCCTGCCGATGGTCTTGATGGCAGATGACCCGCACCCCAGCTGCCAGCATGTCACGTCACATGGAGGGACGGAGGATACAAGGATGAATTATTGAGGATGTCATTAGTAATAGCCACATGTCCTTGCCTAAAGAGACACGTAGGTATTGTTTACCATAATTACATATGCCTAAAGCACCAGTACTTGGGGGTATCTAACTGCAGGGGCGGGTGACGGAACTCCAGTCTTTAGTAGTAAGTTCCTGGTGAGCTCTCTAACAGGCTGAAGTGCCGCCGAAAACAAGCCTCATCCAGATTGCCTACTTGCGGCTCTTAAATGGTTCGCGGACAATCCCCCTTAGTGATATTGAACAGAATATGTAATGCTTGTACACAAGGCTGAGGCTATAAATAAAGATTGAGTCTGCCGAACTGGCCCAACATGTTGTCCACTCCATTCAGTGGCGAATCTTCTTTTGAAGTCGTGTCTCATATCTAGTAAGCTCACCTTCAACCCAACTCCAGGGTCACCTGGGCCCGTTTTCCTTGTCCTAACATAATGATTTTGCAACTAACAGACGGTCTAAGACCGAATATAGTGTGCCATTAGAAACCCTGATGTTGATTAAACGGCAATGAGTGGCTACAGTAACAATTGCGCGCAAAGACACCGAGGCAGCGAACGAGCGTCTGTGATGGAGGACATGACGGTCAGTCCCAGTTCCATTGTCGGGATGAGCAGCAATCGTAATGAAAATGGAAATAACCCAATGTGAGCGCTGGACATCTCTCTCCCCCTACTGTGTGATTCTTACAAATGCATGTCTAACCATCGGGTCGCTCCTCCATATCCACCAGATTTACCGAACGCGCTCTCCCAGTCACTGAAAGGATCACATCTGAGCCATTGGTTCTGAATCATGCTGGAGGCGTGGAAAACCCATCACTCTCAGCTCAACGACTGCACCCTGCGGGCACATCTCCCAACACACTGCATCGGGAACAGCCAGGACCAGCAGCATCACTGGGCGACAAGGGCCTATGCGACTCAAAGGAATATGCTACTACCATGGGGCCATTGCAGGAATCCAGGCAAGGGGAGGACAATCCGGCAGATATGGTTCCCACTAGCATGTGTCTGCAGCCAGAAACCTATCCGATCACCGAGAAGCAGCTCGCGGACGAGGTCCGTGGCATCTACGCAGGCTTGGTCATGGTAGAGAAGAAATGCATCGAGATCGATCGCCAGCAGTCGGAGAGCAAGGAGGAGTTGACCAATGCCCAATGGCAAGCGCTGATTGCCCTGCATCGAACATTGCTTCACGAGCATCATGACTTCTTCCTCGCCTCCAATCACCCAGCCGCCAGCACAGTGCT